TATTTTAAGCAATTTTTTTTTACTTTTTAGACACACCTAACATAAATACACCTAAAAAGTAAAAAAATTGTAAAAAAAATCTTTTAAAAATTCACTAAATACCAAAAATATAAAAAAAATACAAGAATTCAGCACATTTTTTGTATTTTTATGTATTTATTAATTTATTAAATTATTTTTTCATAAATTTTTTCAATTTTTTCTTTTTAGATACATCTAAGTAAGGTGCATTTAAAAAAGTTTAAAAAAAATGTTTAAAATTTAAAAAATATTCACTAAAAATAAAAAAACACGAAAATCAAAAAAGTCAGTTTTCAAAAAACTTAATTCAGAAAATTCAAACCAAACACACTGATTATTATTTAAAAAAAAGGCACTCAAAGCGCACTGAAACAGATTTAGTTGAATATTGCAACTAAAACTTTGTAGAAAACTATACTAATAAAATCATAATCAAATATATATGTCATTGTCTGGTTATAAAATATTAAAAGCTTTTTATGTTTTAAGAAAAGCAGTGGTATAATATAGAGAGCAGCATGGAGAAGTACTCAATTTATTTACAAAATAAAAATTAGTTTTAATGTTCCTAAACAAGAAGAGAGTAGACTATTGTATTTAAACCATAAACTTGGATAGAGATTTAGAAGGGAAAAAAAAAAAAAGTTATATAATCTAAATTTTTCTTAATTTTCTTTTTTTTTTTTAAATCTCTATACAAATTTAAAATTTAAACACAATCTAAAGATTTGACCTAGTAGACGAGATGCTCATTTATCAAGTGTTATGTCTAAGATCAAATCTTACCATTGCGCTACAATAAATTTAAAATTTAACATTTAAAAAAAAAATAAAATTTGGAAAAGAAGTTTATCAAGTGTTATGTCTAAGATCAAATCTTACCATTGCGCTACAATAATTTTAAAATTTAACATTTAAAAAAAAATTATAATTTAAAAATTAAAATTTGGAAAAGAAGGAGGGGGGGGATGGGTGGTCGTGTCGGTGGCCTATGCTTGTTTTGGGTAATTGTCCTAACAATGCACAATAATATAAAAAATTTAGGTTTCTTTTGATTATTATACTAACAGTGCATAAAAATTAATATAAAAAATTTAGTATTACCAGTAAGATTAATATATTCTAAAGTCTATGAAGAAGAAGGAGAAGAGTCTGTTTTGTGCTTAAGAATATGATTGAAGCTGAGAAATCCTATGCCTGAATATTATTATTATTATTTATTTATTTTTAATGTCTAGGAACTTGATATTATTGTGAAAATACATGATGACTTATGACAATTAATATGATAGTTCGAATAGCGTTGATCATAATTATGATAACTGAAACAGCAGTTTTTTTCATTGGGTAGAGTTTTACTCTATCTATAGAAAAGAGAAAAGGAATATTAAACCAAAAAAAAAAAAGAAAGAAGAGAAACGTATAAAAAATAAAATACATTTGAGTAATTTTGGATGATCTTGACATTCAATCCTTAATGTATTTGATTGGAAGATTTGAGGAGGGACTCGAAAAGGGAAATAAAAAAAGTAAATGAAATGTAAATAAAACATACTTATATTTCACCTAGTTTCACACACATTTTCCTTTTTCATTTCCAAATCTCTCCTCAAACCCTCCAACCAAACACAATGGAGTTTCTGAAAAACTAAATACAGAGGTCCAAAGAATTTTTTCTCTATACTTTGTGTTCAATATTTTCATTTCTTTTTTCTTTTTTTGAAACTCTCTTCAGTATTTTCTCCTTTTTTTATTTTTATTTTTTATCATGATCTTTATGAAGGGTTTTATGTTATTTTATTTATTTTACATTTATTATTTTATCTTTGAGATTTGTTGTTGAGGCCCAATAAGCTTTGATCGAAGGGTTCATTGGACTGTAAATAGGATTGAGGCTGAAATGGGCTCGGATTCACTTTGGAACTGTAAACACCGTTCAGGGGCCCATTAGTAGGCTAGTAGGTATACGGGCCCAAGCCAGAAGGCATGTCACAGATAGGCTTATTGGGCCAGAAGGAATTCTCTTTCTTCCTATTTTGAATGTATACTATACCCACCATGATCGAAAATTATTAGGTACTTCCAGAGTACCATGTATTTATATTTTTTCACCAATTATTATTTATTATATTTTTTTATATTTCTCAATCACTCAACAAAAAATTATAATATACCACATTTTCTATTAATCATAATATTATAGAACACTACGGTAACCATACTTCTGAAATACCCAATAATCACTCATCAATCATATGATGCAAAGGAAATCTCAAAATATATATATATTTATATATATATTAAGGAATGCATTAAGGGACATAGAATATTGCATGACATTTTTTTTTTCTCTGTCCCACTTCCAATAATATAATGATAAATCAAGAAAAAATTTGTCTTTAGCTTTTCAAAATGAATTGATATATTTTTTTAAAACTCGCCTTGGATAAATGAAATCTATTCGGTTTACAAGTCAAATTCAAAATTTTGAGATAATAGTTCTAAACTTTATTCTTTTAAGATCAAAAGAATAAAATAATTTAAAAGATTATATTACTTTTGTTTATTTATCCATTTGTATACTATCTATTTATGTATTTTTTTATTTATTTATTATCTGCATGTCATTTATCTATCTACTAATTTGTTTATCTATCCATATTAACACTATCACCACTTGCCGTCGCCAACAATTTTTATGGCCATTCCTCAGTGACTTTTCCAAAGCTAATAGTGGTTTGATGGTTCGACAGCGATCAAGTGACAGTGAAGTTAAAATAGAAAACAAAAGAAAATTCCAAATAATAATTTTGTTCTTTTAACTAAATAATTTCATTAATTATGTTCTTTATCTCCATAAGAGATCAATATTTAGAAATAGACTTGTTACCAATAAAGTTTACATTAAAAAATTACGTTTATTGAATCAATTTAATTTTTTTTATGAATAATATATATATATATATATATAAAGTATTTTATAACACAAATAATTTAAATTATTAAAATGTGACATGTGATGTCACACACCAACAATAAATCTACATGTAAAGGGCAGACTCCTCTTTTCAAAAGATTTGCTTTCTTTGGTTTAAGTTTTCAAGAATTATTTTTATATGGGTTTTCGTTTGTCATGTATTTAAAATATAAAAATAAAAATAAAAAAACAACTAAAAATAAACTAAAACTCGAATAAAAATGTACACATATTTTTGTTCAAATCTTCATTAGTTTTTAGTGATTTTTTAAAATATTTTAGTCAATTTATTTTAATTTTAAGATATATCTTAATTATATGAAAAAATTACCCATAAATCTCATATTGGGAAATATTACACCATCTAGTCTTGTGTGTTTTTTCTTAAACCATTTAGTCCTTTTTTCTTAAACCATCATTCATCAAACATTATTCAACATTATTCATCAAACATTGTGAACATCAATAAATCATCAAACATTATTCATGGAAAACGAGTTCAACTTTTGCTCTTGTTGCCTATGATCTAAGTGTTCAGTATTGTATTCCAGTGCAGATCAACTATGTTCTCTCCATAGAATTCGATTCTCAATAACATCTAAAGAAAAAAAGCAGAAAAACAAAATCATGAATAAATAACCATCAATTGGATCTGTTCTGTGGATCTCTGAACCAGAGAGAGCTCGAACTGAAGAATCTCGGGAGCAGCTTTCTCGTTCCGCCATGACCGCTTCAAGAGCTCTGCATCGGTAGTCGAAATCAACGATTCGTAGTCGTCCATCATCGACCCTTCTCCTGATCCCGAGACCCTGCACTAGGGTTTCTGTTCCGCCATTATCCAACATCCTCCACATTAGATCCCAAAGACACCAGAGCTCTCATCGCTATCGAAATCCCCTTCGTAATTTCCATCATCTTCGTTTCTCGTTCGGAATCTCCATCACAATCTACTCCTTAGCCCTAATTTACAGAGGCAAAACCTCGAGCTTAATGGAATTGGTTTCATGGATTGTATCGATTTGGAAGAAACTAGTAATCACATTGATACATGTTTTGATTTTAATAATCGGTTACATTGTTGTGTCTCTGATTTCGATCAAATTGACTGGCTTAAAGATGTTTTTGATGTTACGATAATGTTTGATCAAAAAAAATTATTATGATGATGTTTGATTTAAAAAAATTGTTACGATGATGTTTGATCAGAAAAAATTGTTTAATCATTATTTTGATGTTTGATGTTATTTTAATCGTTATTTTGATATTTAATCGTTATTTAAAAAATTGTTTAATCGTATTTTGATGTTGTTTTGATGATGATGTTGTGATGTTTGATGTTATTTTGATGATGATGTTTGATGTTGTTTCGATGATGTTACTCATAAATCTGATGTTTGATGAATAATATTTGATGTTTGAAAAGAAGGGAAATCATAAAAAGGCTTATAGTAAAATATTTGATGTTTGAAAAGAAGGGAAATCATAAAAAGGCTTATAGTAAGCTTCTTAGGAAATAGGACTTATTAGTCTAACAAAAAACCTTCAAGACTAAATGGGTTAACATTTCCAAATTTAGAATTTATTTGTGCTTTCTCCTAATTATATACATCTAAAAAATATAAAAAATTAATTCAAATATAAAAAACTAAAAATAAATAATATTTAATTTAAAATTAATTTAAAAAAAATCAAATCAAACAGACATAAGTATGTTACCCCATATACATGAAAATATAAATATAATAAGATATTATTGGATAACAACCTTATTAATTATATATTTTTGGATAACAACCTTATTAATTATTATTCCTGCTATATATTACATAAATATAATAAGATATTATTGGATAACAAAGATATTATTGGATGACAACCTTATTAATTATTATTCCTGCTATATATTGCATAAATCAACAACTAATACCATTGAAATAACACCCAACCTAATTAAAATTTCAAAAAACGTCCAATTTTTACACTGCCTTCTTAGGAGAGATTCCCCAAAGACGCAAAGTGACAGACGCAACGCAACGAAACGAATCTTTATCAACAACTCAACCCCCTCTCAGGAACCTCTGTTTGTGTCCCAAAAATGGCTTTTTCTTCGGATAATCATAAATCCAACAACACTGCACTTCTCGTCATAGATATGCAGGTCTCTCTTTCTCTCTTTCCTCTTAGCTTCAAATTTTAACCCAAACCCTTTTCTTAATTATTATTTTTTTTTTGGCGGGGTTTCTCTGCAGAAAGATTTCATTTTACCAGATGGTTTGATGCGTGTTGATGGTGGCCAATCTATTGTCCCCAACGTCATTAATGCCGTTGAATTTGCTCGACGCCGTGGCATCCTTGTAATTTGGGTACCTTTCTTCTCTTCAATCTTTTATATCACTTTAGGCGTTGTTTGAGATGTCATAAATGAATGAGTGGACTTTTTAGACTAAAAAGTTTAGGGAAAAAATATGATTGTTTGGGTTAATTTTTTGAATTTTTATGAAAAAATATGTATTAAAAAATTATATAAATTAGTGTGTAAGGAAAAATTAAGATTGAGAATTGTGTAGCCGTAATTTTTAACTTTTGATAAATGGTGCTGACTTTTAAATTTTTTGAATAATTTTTTAATTTTTTGACTTTTTTACCACATGCCAAACTTGGCCTTAGTTTCATACCTACTCTGTTAATTTATTTATTTTAATTGTTGTTTGGGATGTGCTAGAGGAAAAAAAAGATGTAGATTTGGGATCATTTTTTAATTTTTTAATAAAAAAATATGTAATAAAATCAAAATGATCATTTTATCTTTTTAATTTTTTAACTTTTAACTTTTTAAATAATTAAATTCAAAGGATAAAATAATAATTTTGTCGTAGTGATCCCCACCACACACAAAAGCATAATTAACTGAAACAATTCGCATTTTAAGAAACTTCAATTGATAGGATGTAACACAGGGGAATTCACATTTTAAGCAAGCCTATGTTGTATTTGTAATTTACTCTCAAATTTTTTTATTTAATTTAATTTTAAGACTAAATTATAAATAAATTTACTTAAAATACAAATTGCCCATATAATTCTTAAAATTACATTTCGCCCTTTGAAATTTTTAATTTCATAATAAATGGTCAATTTTATTAATAAATTATCAAGTCAATTACCTGTATTTAATGATGTCAAAAATATATTTCAAATAATAATTTAAGTAATTTATTATTTATAGGAGAGCAATTAGGAATTTTATTTTTTTTAGTTAATTTTGTTAAATAAAAATTTTTAATATGGAGATATTTGTAATTTTTTAAACTATAGGAGGTAATTTATATTTTAAATAATTTTCGAGAGGTATATTTATAATTTAGCTTTAATTATATTATTGCATGGGGTGAAATGAAAATTTCATATATTGAAAGAGAGGGGAGGTATTTATTTTAATTGTTGTTTGGGATGTGCTAGAGGAAAAAAAAGATGTAGATTTGGGATAATTTTTTAATTTTTTAATAAAAAAATGTGTAATAAAATCAAAATAATCATTTTATCTTTTTAATTTTTTAACTTTTAACTTTTTGAATAATTAAATTTAAAGAATAAAATAATAATTTTGTCGTAGTGATCCCCACCACACACAAAAGCATAACTAACTGAAACAATTCGCATTTTAAGAAATTTCAATTGATAGGATGTAACACGGGAATTCACATTTTAAGCAAGCCTATGTTGTATTTGTAATTTACCCTCAAATTTTTTTATTTAATTTAATTTTAAGACTAAATTATAAATAAATTTACTTAAAATACAAATTGCCTATGTAATTCTTAAAATTACATTTCGCCCTTTGAAATTTTTAATTTCATAATAAATGGTCAATTTTATTAATAAATTATCAAGTCAATTACCTGTATTTAATGATGTCAAAAATATATTTCAAATAATAATTTAAGTAATTTATTATTTATAGGAGAGCAATTAGGAATTTTTTTTTTTAATTAATTCTGTTGAATAAAAAATTTTGACAATGGGATATTTGTAATTTTTCAAATTATGGAGGCAATTTCAAAAGTATATTTGTAATTTACCCCAATTTTTTTCGGTTGAATTTGTTCAATTAACCATGTTCATTTGTTATTTCACTCATAGTATGAGAATTTGTGTTGTGTGATTGTGTTAAGCTTTGTATTACACTATTTAATGTTTTCTGTATCCTTCTACTGAAAGTTTGATTAATAGCAAACCAAATTAAGTTAGAACTACCCTTTAGTGGATATTAGCTTTTCTATTATACAATTAATTATACTTTAGATTTATGAATAATATCTTAGGAGTAAAATATTGTCATGGCATGGCATGAAAAGGAAGTGGTGGATTTTAGTCTGATGGGTTGTTCCTAGCCTGTGTAAAAAAAAAAAAAAAAAAAAAAGTCAAAAAATACGATGGCCAAACTACCCTGTAAGAATGATCAACCCGTTATGTATACGTTGCGGTTATAGAATGATGTTGAGATGGGTAATTAGATTTGAATAGTGAGATTCAACATTCCATATATAGTTTTATTATTGATCGATGATAAATGTTAGTGATGATGTGTGTCATCATTGACGTGTATCATTGTAATATTGTCTTTTCCTTTTTTTGTAGGACTAGAGGGTGTGTGCACACGCGGTGTGTGTAAAATATTTACAACCCAATCACATTACTCGATCACTCAAATTCCTACATAAAAATTAATGTATATCTAACAAAAATTTTAAGAAGTGTGAAACTAAGGAAACAACTAATTCTAAATCACAATAACAACAATGAAAATTAAAAATAGGGAAGAAGAAACAGGAACGTCCTCTAACGTGGGATTCTTATTCAGTTGTTGAAGAAACTTTGAATTAACCTATATGCCCTTCAATACTTCAACTAACCGTTATAGTTATTGGACAATTTTGGAAATCAAAAAATGGTTACGCAACTTCAAAAAAGTGTCCGCACCAAATTGGAGAACACATAACAACCTTCTACCCTTTGAGGTCGGAACAACAATATGAAATTAGAAGCTCAGATTTTGAATGCTGGATATACAGAACAACAATCTGAAGCTGTTATGTCATGATTTTCAATTTTTTTTTTTTGTGGTTACTGAAGTTGCGCTTCAGTTTCCTCTGGAAATGATCATTGAGAAATTTCGGTATAGGTTGTTCGCGAGCATGACCCACTTGGAAGGGATGTTGAGCTCTTCCGTCGGCACTTATACTCTGGTGAGAAAGCAGGGCCGACCTCGATGGGTAGTGTTGGTGCAGAATTGGTCGATGGCCTTGTGATTAAGGAAGAGGATTATAAGGTGGTGAAAACACGTTTTAGTGCATTCTTTGCTACGCACCTTAATTCATTTCTGAAGACTGCTGGGATAAATAGCTTAGTTGTCATTGGTAAATGCACTTTGTATTGTATTCTCTTATGTAGAATTCAGATTGTTGCTCTGTATATACAACTTCTAATTTCTGAGCTCTCTATTTCTAGGTGTTCAAACTCCAAACTGCATCAGACAGACTGTCTTTGATGCTGTAGCATTGGATTACAAAAATGTTACTGTTATTGTTGATGCCACAGCTGCTGCCACACCTGACATACATGGTGGTACGCATTTCTAATCTCTCTAGACTTTATCAGCGATCCTCTATGAAGAACGGATACGGGTACAAGTATTGATATGAGTATGCCGATACGGTAAAATTAAAAAAAATAGAGTACGAGTAAGGCTTGGTATGTTTGTAAAAAAAATATTTATTTTTAATTTGAAGTAATGCAAAAATTGATTAAATAGTTTAATTTGTTAAGATCCAATCTACAATTAACATTTAATGTCAAAAGTAAATGTATAAATTAAATTAAATATCATTATATTAAATAACTTACAAACCATGACTTAGTTTTAAAATCATGCTAACCATATAACTAAAAATAAAAAAGAAGTCTAGTGAAATGAATTTTATCTCTGTAATAAAAGAAAATATTGTTTTAATTGAAGTACGGTATGACTTAGGTATATATATACTTAGGTACGGATGGATACACCAAAAATTAATAAGAAAAAATTTAGGTACATGTTTTATATAAATCCTTTTGAGTTGGAGAAATGATTATGATTCTGGTGATTGATTTCTTCGTCACATCTCTTAACACACTAATTTTAGACATGTCCACAAAAGTGAAAACCACGTTGCATTAATTCGCCTCATGTTCGTATCCTTCTGCTTACTAATTGATATGTTGTGTTGAGCATTTATCATGTCATCAAGATTAAAAAAGTTACAAAGATTGCATGTGAATTGCACCGGTTGTTTTTCTGGCAAGTACCTACGGTTATCAATTAGAATGGCATCTGAAGTGTCAAAAAGGGATTAGAGCAACAGGTGCAAACTTGAATGACTCAACTTCCTCCTAAAGACCTCCATTTTACTAATTGTTAAAGATGTGTGGAAAAAAAATCTAACCCACAATCTAAGAAGTATGGATACGGACACGGACACGAATACACGATATGATACAGATACATTAATTTTCAAAAAATACAGGATACGGTACGTAGGGGACACACATGAAATATGTAATTTTATATAAATATTATATGTTATATATATAAATATATCATTTAAAGATAATAAAAAATACAATATGACATTAATTCATATAAATCTATATGATTTTTATTTTATTATTATATCTTAAATTATTTTATTCAAACTTATAATTAGTTTGACATGTGTCTAATTAATAGACATATGTGTTTAAGAGATACAGGCGTGTGTTCTCTAAGTGTCCAAAGAGTGTTCAGATCTTTAAAAATATTAAAAAATAAGACACGTTTTGAAAAGTATCGAGCAAGTGTCCAAAGAGTATTGGCATCTGACACGGATATGACATGGATACGTCACTTTTTTAAAAGTGTTTGTACTTCTTAGCTCACAATAGATGATGAGGGGTTCAACGAAAGGTATGCCTCATAGATCAGCGAAACAAGCCATTGTTTGCATTACCCAAACCAGTGGTTTCTGGCAGTTCAATCAAAGAAAATGTTAGAAAGAGAGAGAGAGATGAAATTCAGAAAGTATTGGGCAGGGTTGAGACATACCTTTCCTTCATGGATTGTCCCCTTTTTATAGTGATAGAAGTCTTGCCCTAATTATGTCATTTGGTGGGCTTCTTGGTTGGACTGGGACCATTATGCCGGCCTAATTGGGTCAGGCCCAGGGATGTCTCTATTGACCTAGCTCTTTTAAATTTTCTTTTGTATGAATGATTTCAAATTTGAGAGCAGACGGAGCATCTGTCGCAGTATTTGCTTTTGGATCACTACTATGGGCCTCTTTCTAGAACACCATTCATCAATCATATGGACGGCATTCATTACCATAATGACTCATGTCCTTTTTAGTCTTTTTCTAATCCTAATAGCAACTTCAACGATGACAATCTCCCTTTATGCATTAAATGATTTCAATGCACATGGCTGCACTATATAAAGTGGTTCCCAACTGAGGTTTTTTTTCCTTCTCATTGTTGTGCTGTTTATTTCTTAGGAAGCACGGATATAGATACGGGATACGGGTATGATACGATATAGATATGGCGATACGACAAAATATGAAAAATTAAAATATGAATACGGCGGAAATACGTTCATAAAAAATATTATTTTTATAATTTTTAGTAATGTAGCATATATAAAAATAAAGCCTAAAGCAAAAGACAACTTGATAAAAAAAAAAGATTCCTATAAAACTGAGAGCCTTCAGGATCAACAGCTTCAACTTGTTCTCTTTCATCAATGAATATCACAGCTTCCATATCTGGTTCATCAAGAGAAGACTTGCAATTTCAAATAAGCTTGCACCCTCCAATGAATCAAAAGCATCTTTACCAACATCCCATAACTTAGTTTCTTCTTCAATGTACTGTCGACTTCTCCTTGATAAGAGACGAAGATTATTGTGCACAAAAACCAAATCTTCAGCACGCTGTGGTGTCATTTTGTTTCTTTTCATGAAATGAATAAAGGAGTAGGTGCTCCAATTCCTTTCACAGCATGATGAGAAACATGGCTGGCCAAGCAATTTTAATGCTAAAGATTGAAGCATAGGAACAGGAGACCTATGTGTAAACCACCAAATAAGTGGATCTAATACTCCTCTATCAATCTTTGAGTCAAAATCTCCAAACATATCCAAACCTCCTCAAAACTTGGCATATTTCACATCTATAACCCTTCTCTCCTCTAAATTTGGAAAGTATTTCTTGAAGCACTTGTTTCTCATACTTGAAATTTCTTCATCTCTATGAGAAGGGACACAATTGGGATTTTCATTAAGCCACGTTGAACTATAATACCTAGATTACAATAGTAGAAAGTTTCAAAATTAAATTATGTTATTTATATTAAAAGACAAATGTGAACAAAGAAATCTAATTAGTAAGAGTATGAATTAAGTTATTACCTCGAATTCAAAGAATGTGCGAGGCAATGAAGATGAGTGTTACTTTTGGCCCACCTTTCAACTAGTATATTGTGCACAATGGAATAAAAGATTGATTCCTCATGATCTAGCTTCCCTTCATGCCTAAAGATGTTTGCCTTCACCTTTTCAATCATGGTGTCTCACATTTCATAGACTAAGTGAAGGCATGGTTTGTCAGTGTCACAAAACCAAAGCATCTCATAAATAGGCAATGTAAAAGACAAAATGTAATCAATCTTATCCCACCACAAATCATTCAATAATTTTTCCTTCACAGATGCTGCTTTCCCAACATCGTCTTCTTGGTAAGAAACTCACTTGTCACTAATTACCATTGATTGGAGGCCACGCTTTATAAATTTAAACCTTTCGAACATGACAATGGCAGATGCAAAACGTGTGTTCCCGCAACAATAAGCAACTTCAAGAGTACGAATTCATTGAAAATAGCTAACTGTATAGAATGGTTCATGATGAAGTTTTTGATAAACATCACATCATCAACACAAAGTATGATCCAGTAACATTCATCATAAGCAAAAACAGTACCCCCTGTTTCCTTAGAGCACAAATATTCTTAAAAGCAATATTCAGTGTGTGAACTACACATGGTGTCCAAAAGACATTCGGGTACTTACTTCAATGAGTAAACCAGCTGCCCTACACACGGGAGCATTATTTGTAATGACTTAAATGACATTCTGATGTCCAACTTCTTCAATTGCTTGACTAATTAAGTTGGAAATAAAAAACTTGTCTTTGTGGTCACCTTCACAATTAACAGCTTTCAAGAACATTGCCCTAGCTTCTGATGCTCCCATAAAATTAATAAGGGGCCTTCTTTGAGAATCAGTCCACCCATCTAAAATAATACTCAACCCCTTTTCCTTCCATGATGCTCTAGTTGGCTCCAACGACCTCTTTATATTAGCCATTTCCTTTTGAAGCAATGTAGTCCTTAACAAGTTATAATCAAGTGGTACATAACTAGGAATTGGATTGTTGGCAGCAAATTGAAAAGCACTAACATAATATGGGTTCCTTGATAAATGAAAAGGTAACCTCGCTGAATAAAACATGCGAGCAATCTCAGAATGTAATTGTTCCCGAATAATATGGTTGAATGCATTTTCTAGAGCAGAAGTTCCAGTAGCCTTTCTTTTTCTTGGCTTATACCCCTCCATTCTAAATCCTCCAATATCTAAATGCCCTGAACCTGTTGAAGTAGATTGGCAAGTGAAAGGTGGTAAAGGAATTTTTTTAGACATAGCCATCTTTAACCTCTTCTCAGCTTCTTCAATTTTCCTTTGCATTTCAGCAAGGTGTTGAGGAGTCACTTTGGGGCACACTCTAATTCCATGGCCAGAAAGTTTTAGCAAATGTGCATTAACCCTAAAGTATGACCCCTTATACTCATTTTGACAATAATTGCATTTAAACTTGGTATTACCACCTCCATCTCTCATTTTTTTTCCATTTTTGTAACATAACACCAAAGAGGAGCATGATCATCTTCTTACATTGGTATACCACTTGTTGAACCTAAACTTCCCGTACCCAAACTCATTTCCTAAAATTTATAAATTTGGTAAAGAAATAAAAAAAAACATTAATGTATATAGTTATCTTTTGGCATGAACATCAAAAAAAAAAAAATAGCAATTCAATAAAACTTCAGCAATTTCAGCAATTCCAAAAATTCAACAATTCAATAAAATTTCAGCAATTCAAAAGAAAAAAAAAAGACGTCACAAGGCTGAGAGAGTGAGATTGAGTGAGACAGAGAGACAATGTGTACTAGTAGTAGCTTAGCTTAGCTGCAAAAAAAAAAAAAAGAAAAAAAAAATCAAAGGGGTTAGTTTAGTATAGTGAGACTGTAAGACGGAGAGACAGAGTGAGTGAGCGGGAGAGAGAGTGCGATTCAGTGAGACGGAGAGACAGAGTGAGCGAGAGGGAGAGAGAGATCGAGCGAGAGCGAGAGGAAGAGGAAGAGAGAGAGAGAGAGAGACAGAAAAGTGAGAGAGTGAGAGCGAGCAAGAGAGAGTGAGAGTGTCAGTGAGAGTGAGAGCGAGAGAGATGGACTGACCTTGATCAACGATGACGACTCGTCCTCTTCCTTGCTGTTGTTCGCAAATGGTGATGGAAACGATAGAGAAGATGACGCCGACTCTTGCTCTGTTCGGCTTGTTGCTGCTCCAGTGCTCGTGAGCTACCTAGGGTTTGTTTTTTGTTTTAGTTTAGATAATTTTTGTTATTTTACACTTTGACCCCATTATGAGTTTGTAAAATTATTTTTTCGTCCCGCCGTATCCTGAAAGTATCCGAGCATATCCTCATGTATCCTCACGTATTCCAAACGTATCCAAAATTCAAAAAATTTTAAAAAAAAAAGAAGGGATATTTTTTTGCCGTATCTGATACGTATCCCGCCGTATCGGACGCGTAGCCATATCCAATATGTATCCGACACACGTACGGGGGCCATTTTAGAGTATCCGTGCTTCATAGTATATTAGCCTTTTTTTTTGGGTTTTGAAATGTTAAATTTGTTCTTTTGTCATCAAACAATCACAGTTTTCAATTTTTTGTCTTTACTTTGTTCAATCATCTGCCGAATGGAATCGGTCCATTGTGGTCCAGTGGTTGGTATTTAGCAAGATTATTTTTGAATGAAATTGGCATTATTCGCTTGCACTATTGGCATGGTTTGAAGTTTTTTAATCTTTCTTTTTAATAACTATATATAATCATCACTGTCAACGTTGTTCAAAACATCTCGAGTGATACCAAGATATTGCAAGATTCCAATTTTTTTAATTATTTAAAATGAAATTAAAAATGGATTCAACAAATATTTTTGAATTTTTGGGTATTAACATAATCATAATCTTTTTTTTTTTTTTTGAACGACATAATCATAATCTATTGGTGAGCACCTCTATGAGGTGGGCATAAATTTTTTATAATACTTTCTGTCCAGTGGAAATGTGCCATGTGTCTTGCTACCTGACAGCTCTAGTTTCATTTACTACTAATGTATTTTAATTTCTTAGTTTTTCATAATTCACACTTACAGTAGTGTTTTTTTTACTGTTTTGAAGAATTCATGATACAAAAATAGCTTAGCTTGTATCAAGCCTTCGACTAACATCGAGCATTACGTTCCAGCAAACATTTTCGATATGAAAAATATTGGAGTTTCAACCCCAACATTGGAGGAATGGTGCGAGTCCAACGATTGATATATTTCACAACTGAATAAGGTGAGTCCCTTCTAATAACCCCCCCTAAACAGGTTGTATGTATGTACAGTTTAAGATGGTTTTCGCCATTTTTGCATGGGAAAAAAGGAAAGAGGGCACGCTTTGCTGATTTCTCCGTGGGGGTAAGCGCAGAACGGTTTATCTTAGTCACGAATGAACAAATATGTATATATAATTTTTGTGTGTGTGTGTGTGTGTTAATAATTGAATTGACATCTCAGTCATGCTCTTGAGCTGCTAGTTTTAAAAAACAAAATTTGTATTTGTTTCTTAAAGTATATTTCGACATTGCATACTTTTATATCTTAATGAGGTCATTTCTGCAGGGATTGAACTCCTCAGATAGTGCATGGAAGTTAATTGATGAATTGAAGCGGATGAAATGAACGAAAAACAGAAGGAAAACATGAACAATATAGAGAAGAAAAAAAAATTCTCTGAAATTTTATAATTTAAAAACAACTAAATAGTTCAAAGGCTTACTTTACTGCTCAATTTATACCAAACAATACTTGGTGATCAATTCACAATCTACACAAAGATTACATAAAACTCAAATATTGTCAAAAATAGTAGATTTGAGCTGGGCTCAAATTTGTAATCTAAAATATAAAAGAAGCTCAGGAAAAAAAACATGACTCAAAATGGATTTATTTAGGCCTTGAAATTAAGTATTTAAAATCTTTTCTAAAAAAAATTAGAAAATCAACAAAGCGTCCAAGCTTGCCTAACAAACTACTACAACTTTAATAAATACTATCAGAAAGGATATCAAACTTCTCTTTACAGGAGTTGAACCCGAAACTTTACAAAATCAACTTCTTTGAAAAATCAACAAACGATCAAACTGATCAAATTGTTTCATAAAGTTGTTATGAATTACCCGTGCATCATTAACTCTTGAAACAACTTTAGGCATTGTCTAATGGTAAATATAGCATCATTGAAAATGATGTCTGAAAAGGGTTTCGCTCGATAGAAACTGGTCCATGAGCAGCTACTTTGTTGATAGAAATCTATTAAGTATTTAGAAAATTGTGGATAAACCACCACCCAAATGAAATGATAAAGAGTCAACAAGGATGTGTGTTAGAAATTGGGCGCCCATGTGGCATGACCCTTAGAACCTTTTGGAATCCTATCCAAATAGGTTTTGAAATTGAATTCAAACCTATTTAGGATAACCACTCAAGATACAGATATTATCAGTTTTAACTGATATGGATAGATATAATAATATATTATATATCTGATATATGGTTATGGGTAACCAAGAGAGAAACAACGTATGATCTGTTTCTACCCATATACTGACTCTCTCCCACCAAACAACGATCAAGCCTTTTGCACTGTGATTTGTGTGGGTGATATTCAATCTGTGATATCACTCCACTGCTGGGTTGGTTTATCAGGATTCTGGAAGCACATGATTTATCCACGAGGTTCTATCATCTAAAGGTATGATCTGATTATTTTATTCGCTGCATGTTTTGTGTTTTGATTTACATTGGTATCAGAGCCATTGATGGATATTTTCGTGTTTGTTTTTAATCATGTGTATATTTTACATGTGTATGCTTACATTATATACATGAATGTTTGTAAAGAAAAAAAAATCTACTTTGATTAGATTAAGAGCATAAATATTTTTTTATATTCATTAATGTCTTTTTTTACTACCATAATGGTTTTATTTTGAAAAAAGGAGTCCGGCAGTACAAAAATCGGACCAGAAAACACCCTGGAAGGCGACGTGTGGTCTGCACGTGCCACCTGACGCCGTGAGCTGCTCCCACACGTTCCCACGTGCTGCCACGCGCTCCCACGCACCAGATGCCCTGCCTACGCGCCTGCACGCGCCCTCCGCGCCACGCACGCGCGCCGTGCCCTGAGCCGCGGGCTGAGCCGCGCACCGAGCCGCGCTCCGAGCCGCGCCGAGCCGCTCCTTGAGCCGACTCGCGCCGAGTTGCGCTGAGCGGCGACGAGCCGAGCCGAGCCGTTTTTCCCGCCTGGCTTGGCTCTAAGGCTCTGTTTGTTTGTTTTTAATTCTGAATTGCGTTAATTGGCCATAATTTATTCGTTATAGCTTTGTTTTAAGCATGGTTGGTACTCTGGGTCGAAAGGCTGTTCTGGATATATATTTCTGGGCCGAAAGGCTGTTCTGTTATTTTTGGGCTGAAAAACTGTTCTGTATATTTCTGGGCCAAAAGGTTGTTCTGTATATATTTCTGGGCCGAAAGGTTGTTCTGTATATTTCTGGGCCGAAAGCCTGTTTTGTATATATTTCTGGGTCGAAAGGCTGTTCTGGATATATATTTCTGGGCCGAAAGGCTGTTCTGTTATTTTTGGGCTGAAAAACTGTTCTGTATATTTCTGGGCCAAAAGGTTGTTCTGTATATATTTCTGGGCCGAAAGGTTGTTCTGTATATTTCTGGGCCGAAAGCCTGTTTTGTATATATTTCTGGGTCGAAAGGCTGTTCTGGATATATATTTCTGGGCCGAAAGGCTGTTCTGTTATTTTTGGGCTGAAAAACTGTTCTGTATATTTCTGGGCCAAAAGGTTGTTCTGTATATATTTCTGGGCCGAAAGGTTGTTCTGTATATTTCTGGGCCGAAAGCCTGTTTTGTATATATTTCTGGGTCGAAAGGCTGTTCTGGATATATATTTCTGGGCCGAAAGGCTGTTCTGTTATTTTTGGGCTGAAAAACTGTTCTGTATATTTCTGGGCCAAAAGGTTGTTCTGTATATATTTCTGGGCCGAAAGGTTGTTCTGTATATTTCTGGGCCGAAAGCCTGTTTTGTATATATTTCTGGGTCGAAAGGCTGTTCTGGATATATATTTCTGGGCCGAAAGGCTGTTCTGTTATTTTTGGGCTGAAAAACTGTTCTGTATATTTCTGGGCCAAAAGGTTGTTCTGTATATATTTCTGGGCCGAAAGGTTGTTCTGTATATTTCTGGGCCGAAAGCCTGTTTTGTATATATTTCTGGGTCGAAAGGCTGTTCTGGATATATATTTCTGGGCCGAAAGGCTGTTCTGTTATTTTTGGGCTGAAAAACTGTTCTGTATATTTCTGGGCCAAAAGGTTGTTCTGTATATATTTCTGGGCCGAAAGGTTGTTCTGTATATTTCTGGGCCGAAAGCCTGTTTTGTATATATTTCTGGGTCGAAAGGCTGTTCTGGATATATATTTCTGGGCCGAAAGGCTGTTCTGTTATTTTTGGGCTGAAAAACTGTTCTGTATATTTCTGGGCCAAAAGGTTGTTCTGTATATATTTCTGGGCCGAAAGGTTGTTCTGTATATTTCTGGGCCGAAAGCCTGTTTTGTATATATTTCTGGGTCGAAAGGCTGTTCTGGATATATATTTCTGGGCCGAAAGGCTGTTCTGTTATTTTTGGGCTGAAAAACTGTTCTGTATATTTCTGGGCCAAAAGGTTGTTCTGTATATATTTCTGGGCCGAAAGGTTGTTCTGTATATTTCTGGGCCGAAAGCCTGTTTTGTATATATTTCTGGGTCGAAAGGCTGTTCTGGATATATATTTCTGGGCCGAAAGGCTGTTCTGTTATTTTTGGGCTGAAAAACTGTTCTGTATATTTCTGGGCCAAAAGGTTGTTCTGTATATATTTCTGGGCCGAAAGGTTGTTCTGTATATTTCTGGGCCGAAAGCCTGTTTTGTATATATTTCTGGGTCGAAAGGCTGTTCTGGATATATATTTCTGGGCCGAAAGGCTGTTCTGTTATTTTTGGGCTGAAAAACTGTTCTGTATATTTCTGGGCCAAAAGGTTGTTCTGTATATATTTCTGGGCCGAAAGGTTGTTCTGTATATTTCTGGGCCGAAAGCCTGTTTTGTATATATTTCTGGGTCGAAAGGCTGTTCTGGATATATATTTCTGGGCCGAAAGGCTGTTCTGTTATTTTTGGGCTGAAAAACTGTTCTGTATATTTCTGGGCCAAAAGGTTGTTCTGTATATATTTCTGGGCCGAAAGGTTGTTCTGTATATTTCTGGGCCGAAAGCCTGTTTTGTATATATTTCTGGGTCGAAAGGCTGTTCTGGATATATATTTCTGGGCCGAAAGGCTGTTCTGTTATTTTTGGGCTGAAAAACTGTTCTGTATATTTCTGGGCCAAAAGGTTGTTCTGTATATATTTCTGGGCCGAAAGGTTGTTCTGTATATTTCTGGGCCGAAAGCCTGTTTTGTATATATTTCTGGGTCGAAAGGCTGTTCTGGATATATATTTCTGGGCCGAAAGGCTGTTCTGTTATTTTTGGGCTGAAAAACTGTTCTGTATATTTCTGGGCCAAAAGGTTGTTCTGTATATATTTCTGGGCCGAAAGGTTGTTCTGTATATTTCTGGGCCGAAAGCCTGTTTTGTATATATTTCTGGGTCGAAAGGCTGTTCTGGATATATATTTCTGGGCCGAAAGGCTGTTCTGTTATTTTTGGGCTGAAAAACTGTTCTGTATATTTCTGGGCCAAAAGGTTGTTCTGTATATATTTCTGGGCCGAAAGGTTGTTCTGTATATTTCTGGGCCGAAAGCCTGTTTTGTATATATTTCTGGGTCGAAAGGCTGTTCTGGATATATATTTCTGGGCCGAAAGGCTGTTCTGTTATTTTTGGGCTGAAAAACTGTTCTGTATATTTCTGGGCCAAAAGGTTGTTCTGTATATATTTCTGGGCCGAAAGGTTGTTCTGTATATTTCTGGGCCGAAAGCCTGTTTTGTATATATTTCTGGGTCGAAAGGCTGTTCTGGATATATATTTCTGGGCCGAAAGGCTGTTCTGTTATTTTTGGGCTGAAAAACTGTTCTGTATATTTCTGGGCCAAAAGGTTGTTCTGTATATATTTCTGGGCCGAAAGGTTGTTCTGTATATTTCTGGGCCGAAAGCCTGTTTTGTATATATTTCTGGGTCGAAAGGCTGTTCTGGATATATATTTCTGGGCCGAAAGGCTGTTCTGTTATTTTTGGGCTGAAAAACTGTTCTGTATATTTCTGGGCCAAAAGGTTGTTCTGTATATATTTCTGGGCCGAAAGGTTGTTCTGTATATTTCTGGGCCGAAAGCCTGTTTTGTATATATTTCTGGGTCGAAAGGCTGTTCTGGATATATATTTCTGGGCCGAAAGGCTGTTCTGTTATTTTTGGGCTGAAAAACTGTTCTGTATATTTCTGGGCCAAAAGGTTGTTCTGTATATATTTCTGGGCCGAAAGGTTGTTCTGTATATTTCTGGGCCGAAAGCCTGTTTTGTATATATTTCTGGGTCGAAAGGCTGTTCTGGATATATATTTCTGGGCCGAAAGGCTGTTCTGTTATTTTTGGGCTGAAAAACTGTTCTGTATATTTCTGGGCCAAAAGGTTGTTCTGTATATATTTCTGGGCCGAAAGGTTGTTCTGTATATTTCTGGGCCGAAAGCCTGTTTTGTATATATTTCTGGGTCGAAAGGCTGTTCTGGATATATATTTCTGGGCCGAAAGGCTGTTCTGTATATTTCTGGGCCGAAAGACTGTTCTGTATATATTTCTGGGCCGAAAGGCTGTTCCGTATATATTTCTGGGCTGAAAGGCTGTTCCGTTATTTCTGGGCCTATGGCTGTTTTGTATCTGAAGACCCATGGCTATTCTGGAAGTAATTACAGAATGTAGTTAATCATATGCCTCTGCAATTATATGCTTTATGACTCAAGTTAAACATTACATTATTTATGTACTATTATTCACTGAGTTTCACTCATCCTGTATTTCGTCTGTTTCTGTAGGTAATCAACTAGGAGACCAGTCCTAACCCTTAAGGCTCGTCTCTCTCTTGTCAACCTCGGTGTGTCTAGGCACTTAGCTGAAGCCCGTACATTTGTAAAGTGTTATTAGTTTTTTTGGCTTATGCTTTGGTGGTCTTTCATTAATATTTTTGTTATACGCCCAATTGTGGGGCTAAGTCGAGGTATATGTGTGTAAGTTTTTTTGTATATTATTTACCTAATGTGATGTGTGGTCCTGGCATAATAGTGGTAGCTCAATGGAATAGATTTTTGTTATCAAGTGCTTCCGTTCAGGCCCCATACGTTACATATATCGGTTTTATGTCCGTTTCTGATGTAGTCATGCCCAAAACTTTTAGGGGCGGTTTTGGGTTGTGACAAGGGCAATAAAGACTTGAGTGA